GATTTGACCAGCTAAATAGTACAAATAATTCAAGATTCATAGTAAAACATCTGCAAAGAAAAAAAAGCCGGTAATGCTGATAAATTTTTCAGTATTCCTTTTTTTTTGGTAAGGAAATGTCAACTAGTGTACACAAGGAAATAAACTTCCAAATTATTTTTTCATAATTTGGATACCAGGGATATTACATTTACCAACTGATGTAGAATAGGTAGTCCTCACTTAAGATCCCAATTGGGAACAGAACTGGTTATTAAGCAAATATGTCTTCCTTTTTTATTTTGCTTGCTGGAACCCCCTGGAAAGGATGGTGTAGCTGTTGTACATCCGTGCTGGTTGCCAAGTGCCCAAATTTTGATCACATGAACACTGCAGTGGTAAGTGAGGACCAGGTGTATGTCACTTTTTTCAATGCCAGCATAACTTTGCTTGGTCATTAAAAAGTCATAATGTAAAAACTACCTGTACAGAGTGAGATAGACAAACAGAATGGATATGTCTGAATGAAAGTGACTTAATTATTGCTTCCAGTTGTCTGTTTAATACATTCCTACTGTGCTTCCCCGAAAGTAAGATCTACCCTGAAAATAAGCCCTAGCTTGGTTTTGGGGGGTGGGCCTAATGTAAGCTCTACCCCCAAAATAAGCCCTAGTTTTAGGGTGAGGCACACACCTAAAAATCAAGCTGGGGTGGGGGTGTGGAGCTGCCTCACATGCACCACACCCACTAACCTGGCAGCCAGGGCTCTCCTCCACTTCTTCAGCATCTTCTGCAGCCATTTTGCAGTCAGGCCTCTGCAACCGAGAACCGAGCTATGGATTGAATCACAGGCTTCCCAGAAAGGCCTGACTACAAAATGCAGTCCCGAGCTCCATTCTGAGCTGCAGGAATGAAGCTGCTCCTTCGGCCGCAGAAGTGGACCGGCTGGGCGGGGCTGTCAGTGAGTGGAAAAGACACCCCCTGAAAATAAGACCTGGTGTCTCTTTTGGAGGCAAATAAATAAATAAATAAGATCGGGTCTTATCTTTTCTGGGAAACCCGGTAAAATGTCTTGACCTGATTAACATATACCAAATGTTTCTGCTTTCTGAAGCTTTTACTTCCTTACTTGTCGGCTTTTATTTCACATAAGTATACAGCCCTATTTCTTCTTTTTTGGTATATGCCCAACCAAATTGGTATATGGATCTAACTGAATTCCAGCTCTTCTGTACAAGGAGACTAAAGAGAAAAAAATAAAGTAACCAGGACAGGTTTCAGGCTTCTAAAAATCAGGACTTTTAAATAATTAAACTAGTTGGTAAAACAAGTTACAATATGCTAGAATTTAGCATTCAAAACTTTTTTAAAAGTTAAATTTAGCCGCTAGTTTGATCCAAGATACCACGGAGGAAAAAGTAGCCAATAGCCTTCATTACATAGTAAGCCCTTCCTTTGACTCATTTTTGAAGTAACAGACAATTTTTTTCATTTGGAATCTATAATTTATCTAATATAATTGAAGTTTTACTGCAAATTATACCATTCACATAAATAGACACAAATGATGTAAATTTAGATACAGCGGACACCTCTCTAAATAATCCATAAAAACATCCAATATACATATTTAAGTAAAATGTATATAAATTCTGTTTCAGTCTTGGAAATTTTCACTTAGTAGAGCTAGGAAATACAAAACATCTCAGCCTGAAGCAGTATAAGCCATAAGGACAACAATTTTACTTGCCATAAGTGAAAATTTAATAACTTTATAGGAATCCTGTTTTTTTTTAATGTAACAAGTATAAATGCCCTCATGCATCTTTTTTTTCATTAAAATACAGAATCATTCTTCTCATACACACAGTATTGCCAAGTAGAAGATAAGGGCACAGATCTGGAATGATGTATCAGTGAATGTGACTTTTTCAGATCATACTAGGATGGCTGTCTGAACTGCTTATTATAAAAGCGAATAACATGTAAGAGAATAGCATTTCTATTTAGCCTTTTGAGGTGGCTAACATCAAGATGCATAGATGATCTTGAACTGGTGGCATTTTTTTTTCTCCAAAGCTAATGCCACCTTCAGAAGAGATTTTCCAAAGCAGAAAAATAGGTTTTGCCTCAGACTGCCCTGCTTGGATGCCGATACAACCACTCCCATTATATAAAAAAATTACCCTGCATTTTAAATGCAAAAGTGTATACAACCTCATGTCTGAATCTAAGGCTTAATTTGATGCAGATACAAATGGGAGTAAGTCCCATGGAACATAGCGGGATTTACCTCTAAGTAAACTTGCATAGGCTTATATTCCAAACCAGAATCCAATTTTTGTATGGTGGAAAAAAAATATGAGGTTGTGAATTGAAGATAAGGAACAAGTATAACATCCCAAAATGCAAAAGGGTAATGAAGGACATGGTTTCACATTTATGAAAATTATATAGTATGTCCTCTCAATAGATTATGACAGGCTGGCTGCAGTACACCCTACTCAATAAATGATGTAACGCTTTTTTTCCACTTGGTAAAACAGAAAGAGTATTATCTCCAGAGATGTCTATCCTGATTATAGTTTCTTATTTACCAAGTCAAATACACCAAAGAAGATTATGACATAAGGTGAATGATTACATGGTTTTGAATTAGGACTAAACATACTTTATTGGGAATTGGTGCAGAATCATTTTTACATGATCCTAATTTAAGCTAGAAGCTGTGCATTCTTTTGAGGCAAACTTTCCAGACTTAAGTCAAGGCTGTTTCTTCAGCCTTTCTTCTTGAAATTATTTTCTCATGCAAGCCACTATATCAGGTTTCTCCAATCAGGTTCTTGCCTGTCTCCTGTATTGATAGTGTATTAGAACTAGCCTTACCTTTCTAGTTCTAACACACTAAGAGCCAGTGGGCTGGTGAAGACAGCATTAAAATTTGAAGTCAGGCCTTTTTGCTTAGAGAAAATACACTCTTTTAAGTAAGTTTCTGCATCTGAATTCACAGAAACAAGTTTATTTTGCTGGGATAAGAAATAATAGATTAGGATCGACAGCTCATTTGAGTTTTCAGTGTTCATGCTTGCAATCCCACCAAATTGCACTAAGACACTAGCCATATTAATAGGCCTCAGAATTATAAAAAGTTCTTACTGAAATTTTTACTCTCATTGACTAAAACTAACCATTCCTATTTCAGCCACTAGAGGGAGAGGTTACCATATAAACTGGTGTTACTTAGTTTTAATTCCATAGGAGAGAGAGATGTGTAACTGCAACCAGATTTTAATGAACATAAGAATTAAAACCCCAGCTATGAACACACTATAAAACCTGGCAGCATGATGTCTCTAATACATGACACAGGTCCTAAAGTGGTAGGTTATACAATATAATAATAGCTCTGGGGCAAATGCCTAACACATTGGGGTTAAATCACACAACATAACAGTACTGAGACAAGATCTACAGGAGAAGTCATTGGGGGTATCTAATCACATGGCCAATGGAGGGTTGTTTTTTCCAGGCACAAACAACATGAGTCTCATGAGTGACCAACATGGCAGAACAAATGTATTTCAGATACAGAAATGTTTAATGGTATTAAAGTGCTACTATTAAGCAGAAACATATGCTAACATTTAAACACAATTCCACTGTACTGCTAAATGAGGTTATTTTGTTTTATTTTTGTCACCCAGTCCTATCTAAACAATAAAATTAAAAGATCTACAGGACTGAAATTAACAACCAGTAATTATAATCAGCAATAAGTTATGAGTTTATAAAGCATTTTTTTACTTTTCATGTTTTTCCCTTAGTAATTGGGGGAACAGGCAAATTACTACCACCACCCCCCAAACAAAATCCTCAAATAAGTGTCATAAATGAAGTCTCAAAATAAAGAATAAAGTTTAAACTTGATAAAGGAACAGTAATAAGTATCTCTGTGGTTAAAAAGCTTAAAGAGAAGAAGAGACCTCAAAGTGCAGGTTAGAAAGTTCAAAATAAAAACAATGATAAAAACATTGGATACAATCTTATTCTTTAACTGCAAAACAACAACAGTTTCTGCTCAGGAGAAATTGGAATCAACCTAGCAGATTGTTAAGTCGAGATGCTTCTTAGCTATGGACCCAAGATTATATTAGAAATCCAGGTGCCAAAGTCTGCAAAGGGAATCCAAAAGGTAGAGCCATAAAACCAAGAAGAGTCCCTGTTCATCTTGCTCATGGCAGCAGAAAAACAAGTCCCTTTCAATTGGTGTTAATTATAAAAGAGATTTGCAGGATCATGCCTAGATCTAGAAATACATTGTCACGTATAGGTTATCTCATCCAAACATTTACAAATGTTTATCAAAATAATTTGCAAAAGAAAAAAATAGGTAACTGTGACTCAGAATGGAGACTTGTGTCTTTTCTGCACATCATCACTTGTTTTACAGGCTGGTCTCTCTCTCACCTTCTGTATCAGAAGAATCATTCTAGCTCAGCCATTGAATCCAGAGCACGGTTGCACCTGTGGTGGCCTGCTACAACTCAATAATCTAGTGGTAAAAATCATACAGCCCAAGTTTCTTGCCTTGAAACCATGTCCAGCTGAAACATTGAGCTGAATGGGAAGTGCTTTCAGATTTGCAGCACCTCTCATAAGGTATAAGCAGAGCATCTTGCTATTATTACATTTCTCAGATAATAATGATCAAAGATGGCTGGAGATATCCAGTTAATAAAAGATGCTTGACTGGACTAACTTTTGCTGGTGAGGCTACAGGAAATCTATTTAACTGCTTAGTTATATTAAAGAAAAAAAATAAAAAATTAAATTCATTGATGGAATTTAAAGAATTTTAAAAAGGAGCTTAAAAAAATAACTTCAAAGTATTGTGCAAATGCATTGGAAATGGTTCATCCAATGAACTATATCACCGTGGCTACTTTATCCCATCATTTGGGACCAACATACAGCCATCCCAGATATGTTAGATTATCATAGATATTGGACATACTTTATATTATTTATTATTAGCACCACAAGGGTCTTATAACAAGTTTGTTAATTTTGAACATGGGAAGGAAAAAAACCACAAGTGTGACAAATTAAAATGCAAGCACCTGAACAGCCAAGTTTCCCATCCAATCCATCTTTCAATATAGGTATCCATTGCTGATGGGAAAATCTCAATCCAGCTATATGTAACTGGAATGGTGTCCTGGATTTGAAATTAACTGAAGTTTAGCACTGTCAAAAATTTTGGATTATGGTCAAATAAAGATTAATTGGTTCCCCTGCTAGGTTCCCACTCTTCCATGGACCCATGGAGCTATTCTAAAGTTGTGTCTGTCCAAGCTTAGCTGTTGAAGGGTGGGTTGGGTAAGAAAAATACTGTATCTTAAGAGCTCTGCCATATGAAACTCAGTTGCCCCAAAGAAACCAGTTGCTCTGCTCTAGCACCAGGCTCTAGGAAGTGAAGGAGAGCTTGACACTAGCGCTGGAGTAACCCTCATCGCTCCCAATGCTCTGCAAGCTGCTGTGATCATCAATGTCACTTGTACTGGTTGTGCTGATATCATCCACGTCTCCATGGGAGAACTCTGTGCTTTCCACATCCACTTCAATTTCTTCTGGGGGGAAAAAAAGAATCTCAAGTTAGTATCAAAGTAAGTTTATTTAAGACCATCCCTGCCTGAAGAATCTAGGTTCATTCCAGCCACATCCTCAGGAGTTATTGTAAAGTTGTATGATGAGATCTTTGCAAAAACGATGAGCAAAAGAGAGAAAAGTGCTCTGTGATATTGATAAGAATTTTGAAAGAATTACAAGAAATTGGACAGCACTCATTTTTTACAAATTTGTATTACTAGCCAACTATCGTTTGATTGCTAATTTAATATTTATATCTGGTTACAGTGCCTTGGATTAAACTGATAGGTACTAATTCAATATTCTATACATGAATAGACTTTTCTCTTATCCACTCACCCCAAACAGATTTCTCAGTCTACATTAAGGAGCAGTATTGTACACCAAGATAGATGTGCTGTTCATAGAATAAAACTTCTTTGCATATTTGAAGTTTTAAAGTTTCACATTAAGAATTTGAAGAAGTAATGCAAAATAACAGAAGATCATAGAAGGGTAGCATGGATCATTGGGATTGTTTGTGAAACAAGAAGGGTAGTGTTGCCTAAATTCTCTTGATTAACTGAGTTTTCTATTCTAGTAAAGCTTTAGCCTCTGTTGTTGCAGTGTTGTCTCGGTCTCTCAAAAATATTCTGGATCTATGTATTTTAGGCCAAGAGAGAAGAATGGCTAAAGGCCCAAGTATCAGTTTATCAGCTGCTCAAAGTAATTAGAACAAGGTACTTTATTATCTTAATTTCATAAAGCAAGAATCCCAATGTATAATTGTTAAGCTAAGAGAAGTCTCTAGCCCTATTCAGAAAAAGAAAGGAAAAACCCTCTACACATGTAAAACTTCAAAATAAGTTCTCTTCACCCTAAAGTTAATCCTCTCGGCATATTCATAGTAGGGGAAAATCTTTGCCTATAGAATTATGACTAGTTTGTTTCATGTAGACCAGAGTCCTGTACTACCATTTTTTTAGCCAGTGCAGAATTCAGTAGCCACATATAAAGGTTTTTTTCCTATAGACATTTGCCTATTTGCATGAACATCTTGAGGATATGCCATTGATTTGAATAACTTCTGATGGATGCAATGTTTATCATTAGCACTTTTTCATTCGAATGCCTAAGTAGAGCTAAAGATAATTGTATTTATATCAGTCTCATCATTCTAGTGAAAGCTGTTTCTGGATGATGTGCAAATAATCTTGTCTTAGCATTGATGCCTTTCCTGTCAAAAAATCATGATAGTATCACGAGAAAATAAACAGTATCCAAATATGTTTCTACTACATATTAATTTGAAAGCTCTGCTAGAATATCATTAGTGCTGTTTTTAACTCTCAAGAAAGTTGAATTTATATCTTTGCAAATTTGGAGGATTAAACAGAGGGAATGAGTACAAATGACAATTAACCAAGTAATAATGTTCCAGAGTGTAACTACTTGGTCAGATAGTTGCAGATTTACCATATACATTTTTAAACAGATAACAGAAAGAGTCTTTGTACTTATGAAGTACTGTACATAAGACTAAATTATTTTAAGTAGGTATCTTGTAGACCTGGAAGTTGCTGATACTTGCATGAATTCAACCCAAATGGGCAAAAAACATCAAATATATTTTAGATAGAGACCAAAATTAAACAATTTTTAAGATCTGCTAAATTTAATAGGGATATTAAGGACTCCTAAATGACATTGGCTTCCAAACAAGACTCACTCAAGTCGTGCCTCATTCATCTTGCAATCTGAATTAAATTATGATTACCCATCGGTTGAGGCAAAGAAATTGTACGGAGCAAAGAGAAGTGAACATTTTGTGTCTTTAACCAACATATGGAGGGATCAAATACTGACCTCGCTCTGAATCAGAGCGATCTGAGGACATGGTTGATCCAGTGCTGTCCATTCGTATTCGCTCGATGTCCTGAGGGCTTTGCAACTGCTCCAATCGTCGCTTTAGGAACCTTTGCTCTCTTTCCAGATTCTCAAGCTGATGCTGGCTTCTCCTGTCGGCTTCTTCAAGTTTCTGCCATGATAAAAGATTGTTTTTCATTGTCTGGATTTCCCCTGCACTTTCCCCATTTTATTTACTAATATTCTCTTCAGATCTTATTTTGAGAGCTTTGTCAGAAGGTAATTTGGTGGTGTTTATGACTTCAGAGAAAATTGGAAATATGTTTTTGGCAAAGGTGGAGGATCAGCGATGAAGAGTATGAATGATATATCACATATGTGCTGCTGTGTAATTATGTGTCAGATATGTGCCCTTAAATGACATCCTTGCAAGTAAGGAAAAGTAGTGTCAACCCTACAAAAATAATCAGTTTGCTTCTCAGTCCAATCTTACAGTAATGAAAAGAAGAGGATCAGGTAGAGCATGGGTAGTTCTTTCCATCACTGCCCAGTCTCCATTCAGATAATTTAATAGGAAAAAGCATCACAAGTAAAGAAGCGTATATACCTTCACTACTTAATTTATCAGCTATTTCTTTGAAGCAGTTCCTCATTTGACCAGTCATTTATGTAATCTACTGCAGACTCCTTTCATCACAGCTGGGAAATCTTACCAGGCCAATACACAGGGTTTCTTGATGGCCAGCAAGTTGCATAACTCCAAGTCATCTCAGGCTAATGCCATTCATTTAAGTAAGCAGGGTTTCCCTCCCTGCTAAGCTTGAGCTGTTCCAGTGTTTAAGCACATCCTGATCCCTGTGAGCCTGGCACTACTCTTAAAAAAAAACAACACCACACATCAGGGAAGGGTCAGAAAGACTGTAACCAGGGCACCTGCAGTGCTCTTTTTAAATAAATTTCTTTTTTTTTTGTTATTAAGTCCTGTATTTATTTTCCAAATGCAGTTCCCATATATTGTAAATAGAATGCAAAGAGAACATGTAGATTTGAATAATTAACACTTGCTGATTGCTCTAGGTCATTAATATTTTCTTCCTGATGTATGTGGTCTGCTCAGTGGCACATAGAGCTGTGCAGAAAATGGTCTGTTCTCAATAACTGACTCTGGTTGCTGCTCCATGTGGTTTAGATTATCTCACTTGATGCTTCACTAGTAAGTATAACCTAAAATCTGGAACACTCTTTCTTCAGCATGGCCTTTCCTAAGTTCATGCCCTCTAATTAGACTGTGGACAGTAACATTAGTAGGTTGAAGAAAGATGGTTAAACATGGTTGGTAGTCAATAATATTTTCAGGAAATCGTTTAAGGCACGATATAACTCTTGCATAGTATGTTTTATATGATTTCAGCCACATACTTAGCATTTTGCTTTTATTATTGTTTCACAATGGTACTGGTATATATAACATATCTGGGATTAATAGTTTCTGAATAATGCTATTGCCATCATATCTTTTGTATTTAAAAATATAAAAAATAATCTATGATTATAAAGTCATGAATAACATCAATGATAAACATAACACTTCATATCCTAGTATGTATTTGTCAGATGCCTGAATACAGTTTAGGATGGAAACAGAGAAATAAAACTTCATTTAACTTGGAAATTATCTTGATAGATGTGCCATACTATTTGGGTATTCAAACACAGGTACACCCAAGAGTCTATCTATACTATCTCAACAAGCAATATTGAACTTCACAGAAAACACTTTGTTAGATGAAGCCCAATGACAATTGATAGTACCAATGATACAATATAAATTTCTCTTAACATTTCTTAATTGTATTTTGTAGAACTGTGGTATTCAGGAGTTTTAAATGATTTGTGACGTTTTTAAAAGATGGTATTTAAGCAATTATATGCTGAACGTTAGGTCAATGATTTCTACACCAGACTTCAGATTTCTATAATTTCTATACCAGACGTCCTTAGGGAGCAAACAAATTCTGCAAATTTACTGAGAAAAATAGTGCCACAAAAATGCTGGGACATGCTTTTAAAGGTATTATACCAACGTCACGATGTGAACTCTCTGAGGAAGATGATAATCTTACCTGCAATTATGGCTAGTGGGGTAACTGAAATATTATTATAAATGGAAACTGATGCTCCTCTTACCTTAATGTGTGCTTTGGCTTTGTTAAGCAATCCAAGGGTTGTGTGTCTGGTGCAGTCAGGTCCTAATGGTATCAGAACTTTTAAGCGTTCTAGACACAGGCGGAGATGGGCTCGTCTGGGAGGAAAAAGTGCAGAGATACATTGTGAACTGAAACTTGCCTCCTTCAAATAGCTTCCTAAATAATATCACATTGGCTTCTAGTGTAAAATGTGGGAACACTTTGAGGTTGGTGTTCTAACAAGCATAGCTGGTGACTCTGACAGGTATTTGAAAAAAAAATTGTATCATATTGAATTATTTCACCATTGATATTTAACATCATTCATCTTAACTGGCAAATTCTGATACTTCCATGTTACTCCAGTGGTCACTACAATGCTCAAAGAAAAATAAATTACGCCTACAATGCATTCCTCTCTTTTTATTTTGCACTGGAAATTAAAATGGTTGACAATCTCGGTTCCTCTTTGTTTTCACCCACGTACTCTGCTTAAACTCCTCATGATTACTTTAACAAAGAAAGGGAAGGCTGCAGCAACTTGCCACTTTACATTTTTAACACAACCCACTTCTTTCTAAATTGGCATTCCACAGAATAAGTTGGACTAGAATTCCCACTTTGATCAATGGATCTGGAGATTATCAAATTTGAGCAAAGTTGCTACAGTTTTTTTTATGCTTTCTTCATTTCTAACCTTATAGAGAAAGTGCTGCAATGTGATTAAAACATTTCAGCAAGATAACTGTAAAACAATTGTTAAATTATTTGGCTTCTGTCTTATTTATTTAGGCTATTCCATGCATAGAGCTATGCAACTACCCAATTTACCATTCTCAATGAAAACATTAGTATGACTGCTAGCCAGTGCTTTTTTTCTTTAAAAAAAAAAAGTGCCGGAACTCACACACATCATACAACCCGCCTTGCCTACCCTACAAGGTTCCATCCAAAAAAGGTTCCGGAACTCCATTCTGGGCGTTCTATGAGAAAAAAAGCTCTGCTGCTAGCAATCTCCTCCACACACGTTTCCAAAATTCCAGCTGTCCAACTGATTCATGCTCAGCTGCATCCTTGTGCCCCCATATTCGGAGTTGGTAATTAGGATAGGATGTGCCTCTGAATTGGCAACTCCAGTTTTTATATGTTAGCTACAGTTAGAGGACAGGATGATTTGTCATTTAATTGGTTCATGTAATTTGGTATGAGAGGCAAAGGTACAGAAACTGGAATCTTGTGTTTCCACACATAAATATAGAAGATGGAGAATTCTTGCATGTTGCAGAAGAACCATCCATAAAATACATTGCTCTACACTAAGAAAATGGTATGCTTAATAAGAGACATCCATACAAATAAGGCAACAGATTTGCCCATATATTTGGAGAATATTAACTTGCCAGCTTCCTACAATTACTATCCTGAATCAAAGAAACATCCTCTTTCATTGAAAATGTGATTACTTGTGTTGGTTAAACAAGAGATGGCCATTATATAAAGCTGTTGGAGAATTTTTATTATTTCTAATTTTAATTCTGGTTACAGTAGTAAAGAAACGTAAACATGCAAGAATTTTTTAAAAGTGACTTTAGGCCAGCCAGCAAAATAAATATCATCCCTATTTTCCCTAAATCCTCTCACTAACTTGCAACATCCAGTTACTGTTTTAGAGAACTAGTACAAGATACTTCCTATTAGAAATAATAAGGCGTCTGAATATTGTATGTTAATATTATCATGCAGTGAGTAAAAGGCATACATTAACTGCAGCTTGGCTTTTCCATGTGCATATAAATTATGTTAATTATGTGTGTCAGACGCCCATCTTTCAGAATTAATTTTCACTAGTAATTTCTTTGCTTTGATCATCAGCTGACACATTGAATCAGGTCCTGATGATAACTCAGCAGAAATGAATACTTCAGCATATCCATATCAGAAAATCCAAAATGCAATTTTAGATCAGAAGTCTAATGCATTATATGTTCTTCATACAGAAAATAAAGTGAGTTTGAACTCTTAATATAGGAAGGGAAATACGACTTCACAAATATAATTCAGTGTGTCTCAGCCTAACTTATCTCATAGGATTACTATCATAAAAACAAAAAAATTGAGAATGAAGCAATGGGCTGCTTTAAGCTGCTTTGGGCCACTAAAGAAAGGCAGCATATACATTTAATAAAAGAGTAAGAAAACTGAAATTAGGTAGAATAAGCCTCCCATGATTACAATACAGCAACTGAACAATACTGTTTGTTTTAAAGGAAAATAAGCAATAAGAAGGGAGGAGTTCTACAATGTGTTTAAAAATACACATACCTGTTCAGAAACCTAAGAACGAATGTTGTAATATTGTTTAAATCATTTTCATTAAAATAAACAATATTGTGATAGGTTCTATTACTGATCACCCAACTAATAGAAATTGCAAGTGATGTTTCCAAAATGCAAACAGGTATCAAAACTTAAAAATGGAATACCTGAATAATTCCAACTGTGGGCTCTGTATTCACTTCAGGACATTCCTGACATATCCTGCTCACAAATTTCTTATTCAGGGAGGCAATATTCACATTCAGAAGTTGAAGAAAGGTACAAAAGAATTAGCTATTCTGGACTGGACTTAAATAATAGGGAAGACTTAATCAGGAAAGAGGGCGTATCAAAAACCTTGGAGGAAAGTGACTACATAATTCAGGAGTTCTTTACACACACACACACACACACACACACACCAGCAAAGTGCAGGCACATTTGGGAATTCATAAAAGTGGATTTTAATATGTAAAATCAGATGTTTAATGTTACATAATTTCCTATAGCAAAAGAAATAAGAAAATGAACCAAAGATGGGAAGTGAGATGCTTCCCAAAATAAGAGGCACTAAAATTGTTATTCCAGCAAGAGAGAAAACAGTTAGCAAAAAAGCTAGTGATATTGCACAAACGTTTGTGATGTTTTGACAATGAAATAAAACGGCTCTCTTACCACTGAACAAGTCACCAGTGAGGAACACATATTGTTAGCTTAGAATTGCAAATATGGTATCAGAAAGACTAAAGTTTAAAATCATCTAAGTTGGGTAAAGGATGTTAAGAAGAACAAAGTTTTTTTTTAAGTCATTTCTTTAAAAGGAAGAGAAAAAGATCAGTGTACCAATTGCACAATAAAGACAGCAAAGTACTAAGACACGAATAAAGAGCATTCAATTCCTATTTTCAATCAGTCTTTTCTAGTAAGATTTGTGTTCTACCATAAAGTTATATAACAAAATGAAGCAATTGCATTGAATTTCATCAGGGGAATAACCTGTTTGAATCCCTGTGGAGTTCAAATCCCTAAAATCATATTTTTCAAGAACAAACCTTACCAATCTAAGATAATCTAGTTTTCTGATTCAGTAACTTTCTTAATAAACTACAGGAATATTATAGTCATAATATATTTTCATTTCAACCAAATGTTTGGCAAAGTGCTTCATGACATTCCGGAATGGGCTGGATGGCTCAAAAGTCACAACTAAAATGCTCAAATACTCTGTCAAAGTGGAGAAAGCAAAAGTGACACTCCAAGATTCAATCCTGAGCCTTCTACACTTCAGTAGGTTAATTGCTTGGGTGACAAGATGGATGGAATATGTGCTCAAATTTAAAGATGACACAAACAATAGGAGGTAGAAAAACCATTCAAAATTATCTTAATAATTAAGAAATAGGCTGAAAATAAAATAATGAAATTTAGTTGAAACAAATGAAAAGTCCTTAGGAAAAGTAATTAAATGTATAGGTACATCATATAAAAACAAGGGTAGCAACCAGGCATTCTGAACTGGGTCTAGGAGCCTACTGGCAACAAATGCTTTGAAATCAATGTAATCCAACAAAATTGGGTTTGGCTTCCAAGCAATCTGGCTGCTACATTCTACACCAGTTATCTTCAGAGGCAGCTTCATATGAAGTGTTAGAGATAATAAAGGTCATATCCCTTTCTAGAAACAGATCTGTATAACTATCATACAACCAAGTTAGTAACCATTGATATTTGAACTATGTCCACATGCAAGTTAGAAATGAAAACATGCCAAAATGAGAGGAAAAAAAATTCATTCCCCTTCCAATTTATGTTAACTGATGTACTCTTGTCTTAGATCTTTGCAGTGTAAAAAATTGTAGATATTATGTCTGTTTTCATTTCTGTTTTTCATGTAAAAAAACCTTCAAGAATACATCCAAATATATGAAAAACAAGCATTCCTTTAATGCTCACATTGCAAATAGGGAAGCCAAGGTTCAGTCAGTGATGGCTTCTAAAAGGCTATCTGGTTAAGAAGCCTGCAAAATAATGTGACTTTAGCTTTCTATGCAAATCAAATTACTGCATCAAGACACACAACAAGAGCTGGTCATAAAATGTTCTCTTAAACCAGTAACACAATCACTCTCCATCTGACATTTGACACGTCTCTCAAAAGCAAATAATGTAAAACCTTAGGTTAAAATAATGCCTTCCTCAATACTGCAACACTGAGATTCCATAATGACTGAGAACATATAAACTGAAATTCATTTTGATTTCAATGAGATGATTTGCTTTTTATTGACAATTAATAAAAGCATTTAATACACTTTTAACCAGCTGCATGGTACTTCAGAGTAAGGGCAAAAGCTTGATCCTTCTCTTAAAGAATCCTTCTCTACTTGAATTTCTATTTCAACCTTGCTGAGGAAAAGACAGGGAAAAATAGCTCCTCCCCCCCCCCCCCAAATGTGGACTGTTATCCTTAGGATTCATTCTGGTATCACCTAATCCATGTGTTCCACACTGATCTCTGTAAAGTTTCAACTATTCTTTCCTTCATCTTTCCTTCTTCTGAAGAAATCTCCCCAGTACTCATTCACAAGCTACATCTGAAACTGAATCTTTCAAATCGATAACACAAAATGATGTCAGTCTCTGTTTATGTTCCTAAAAGCCTTCATCGGTCTTGTTCACAGACAAAGGAGAGGAATATGAGAGCTCCATCCACCCAAATGAAGGCTGAAAAATTAATCTGGCTCCTTCACTTACATGTGGCATTTAAGAGCTGCTATTGTTAATAAACTGAAGAGTTGGG